TCCTTCCTTCCACCCTGTGACTTTGGGTAAATTATTTGGCATCAGTTTCCTTCTGTAAAATGGGGATAATAGAACTTCTCTGTCTCACAGGTGTTTTATGTACAAGATTGTGAGGCATTCAGATATTACACTAATGGGAGCCATATAAGTACAGAGGCAAAACTCCAGCTTTGCCTCGAGGGTCCTGCAATTCTAAGAAAGTAGGGCTTGCCTCAGAGCCTCACTGAGCCCCTTTACATAACCTCACTCCCTTTCTGGAGACATGGGTCACAGTCTACTGAGCCACCTTCATCTTACACCAGCCAAAGAGTTTGGCGTGTGTCATTCTTCATCCTCAGGGAATGTCTCTGTGGTGTGTGGGGAGTGTGGTGGAGAACCTGAGCTCGCCCTCTACTCCAGGTTACAGTCCAGGAATCTTAATGGCTGTGGCAACAGGAAATTTTTCGTCCACTACTAGAGCTATAGCCCTGCCGTGGACCACTTCCCCAAATTGCCCCTGTAAGCACCTTGCTCCTAGTCCATGACCACTCTCATCCTCCCAGCTCTTCTACAGTGCACCATCTTACTCCCTCCTGACGAGTTACTTAAGGTGAACACCTCCCTATTGATCTATTGCATGTTCTGGCACATAACTGAGTCCCAGAGAAAATATTTCATACATTTGTGTGAGGATCCAGCAACACTGAGGACAGAGACCTGGTGGGGATGTCACTTCCTTTCCTCTGTTCTGCAAGGCTTCTCTGAAAGCAAAAGTTAAGTAGATAGGTGGAGTACTGAAAAGTTTAGACTGTCATGAAGGGCTTCATTTTTTTTTTTTAAGATTTTAACTGTCATTTTGTAGTTTTAATAAATATTGCACAATTACATGTCATCATGATAACGCTATGTTAGAACATTTTAATATAGTGGAGAGTTCAAAACAGTCCCCCATATAGAATAAAGCTACACCTTAAAGGAAATATTCATTTGTAGGGAGACTAAATATCCTAAATATTAGAATATTCTGTGAGTGAGATTGGGCCTTAAATTTAGGCTTTTGTTTAAAACAAAACAAGTTTTAACTGAACATCAATAAAAATGTCCATCCATTCCTTAAAAGTGCCAACTGAAACAACAAAGGTAGCCGTGTTAGTCTGATCTTAGTAAAGGTGTGCCCCACGAAAGCTTGTCGCCTGATAAACTATCTTGTTAGTCTTTCAAGTGGTACATGACTGCTTTTTCTGTTTGTTTTAACTGAAACAATGTTTTTGAACACACATCTCTTTACAGTGTTTGCAAGGCAGACAGTGCAGCATTGTTCATACAATGCCTCAATTTTACCATGTGCAGCCTTGCTATAAGCAGCATTGTCCAATGGCGAAAATACAGAAAAAAAATCAGAACTAGCGCCTACACTTGCCTCTTTCATAGATTTGCTAATTAATCACAAGTAAATCAGTTAACTTTTTGTACCTCGATTTCTCTGTTTTTAAAGGAGTTATAATGATTTTCACATCTTAGAAGTGCTTTGAGATTTCTGATTGAAAAGTGTTATATAAATGCTAATTAGTACCATTATTATTTATTGTGGCTAGTGCATGAAACTCAAAGAGTGAAATTAATTAGGAACTAGCTGCACCAACAGTGAAAACAACTTGTCCTATTTTCTTTCTTCAAACTGAGATTAAACAGTGAATGACCTGCATGCCAAGAAAACCAGATTTTAAAATTACTTCAGTTTTAAGAGACACAAGCATTATTAGTTAGGGATTTAAGAGTGTGTGTGTGTATCCTTTTAAATGGTAATTATGTTTGGATTTTTTTATAAAAAGTATAAGATTTCCTTCTATACTTCATGTCTTTTACCCTCCCATATACTAGCATTATTGGAGAATCTCCCCTGCCCCACCCCCAACAACAAATTACAACAAAAGCAGCTGCACTGGTGGTAGCAATGGTGAAAGCAGACAAGGCTCTGTGGGCAGGTAGCTACACATTATTTTTCAACTTCCCTTATTCTGTGCCCTGTAGTTGTGGCCCACTTTTGTAGCATTGGTCTAAAATTAAGTCCCTAGCCTACCACCAGATCCTCACAGAACCCTGTCTCTGTTGGGGCTTTGTGTTTTTTATGGGTCTTTGAGGTACCAAACATGCTGTTGGCTGCTTCAGAAAGAAATAATTATGGTAATATTAATCACAATTATGTGTATTAATTAGAAATAATATTGGCTGCTTCAGAAAGAAATAATTATGGTAATATTAACCACAATGATGTGTATTAATTATTAATTATCAATTATTATTGCCATTATTATTTCTAATTAACAGGTAGTTGCATAAAATTGTATGTTTTAATTATAAGCGCTGCAGGTGAATATTTAGGTATTGATTTAGGAGATTAAACAAATAGACAAAACATTTGCCTGCTATTAGTTTATTAACTAAAATAAATAATAATTGATAATACAAAAATCAACAGGTACGTAATAGATTCCAAGGTACTGATTCTACCGTCATTTACACTGATGTGAATCAGGAGCAAAAGTCCGTGGAGTTACAGAGGTAAAACTTGTACAAGATCCGAATCGGGTCCTAAAAGTTGTATAAACCCCAAAGAGTAGGGGATGGCAGATGGAATACAGATGTACTGACTGCTGTATACCCAGGCTGCAATCAATCTAAATTCCCTCTGGAAGCAAAATGCCTTTTTTCTTCTTCCAGAAATCTCCTTATATATAGGACTATGTAGCACTTTAAAGACTAACAAGATGGTTTATATATAGGCATCTAAAAAGTTAACGCTGATCTACTGCAATGCACCGTGGGAATTGTAGGCAAGCCCAAATGCTGGGAGAG